CTTGGGTGGTTGGTTACATGTATGTGATAATCTATACCCTGCTAAATTCTCAAGGGGGAACCTCTGCAGATTTCCAGAGTTCTCTGTATTCCTATCTGTTTTAGTCAAGAAGTGGGCAAACTTTTCCTTAAAGAACCAAATAGTAAATATTTCAGACTTTGTGGGCCATTTAATTTGTCAGATCTACTCAGTTCTTCCAATATGGACAGAAAGCAACCACAGACAATTTGTAAAGGAATGGGTGTGGCTATCTTCCAATAAAACTTTATTTACAAAAACAAGTAGTAGACCAGGTTTGGCCCTCAGGCCATGGTTTGTCAATCCCCATTTAGACGATTTGAATTTAATGTAATTATTAATATGTTTGGATTTGTCTCTACCATTTTATTATTTGCTTTTTATTTAACCTTTCTGTTTTTCCTCTGTTCCTCCTTTTCTTCCTTTTTACCGATTATTTAAATTTTTTAAATGTTCTTTTTAGATTTTCTTATTGGCTTGTGAGCTTTTTTTTTTTTAGTAGTTGCTCCTAGGGATTTCAATATACATCCTTAATTCTTTGCAATCTTCTTAGAGTTAATGTGTCAATTCACATAAAAATGTGGAAACCTTACAACTGTGTGGGTTCAGTTATCACACCCCATTCTTTTAGTTCTAGTAGTTCTGTGTTTCATCAACAAATATCATAGATTGTTCTAGGGTTATAATTTTCCATTTAAATATTCATATGTATTACAAAGGAAGACCAAAGTGAACTTTTTAAAATAAATTTTAATTTACTCGCTTATTTCTGATGCTTTTGTTTCTTTTTGGTGATCTGAATTTCTGTCTGTTATTATTTCCCTTCATCCTGAAAAGGTTTCTTAGTCATTTCTGCAAAAATCAAACAAATAAATAAAAAAACATCCACAAGACATACTTGGTGGTCTGCCAGTATTCCCTGTCGTGATGAATGTCACTCCATCTATCTAGTCATTCCGGCCAGAGTCCAGAAATGCACAATTACAGTCCCTTTTCCCTCAGCTGCATATACAGTTTGTCAACAAGTCCTGTCAACTTTACCTCTTCAGTGTATTGCAAATCTATCACTTCTTTCTATTTCTATTCACTTTCTCTCCAGTTTTTGTCCTCATCACCACACAAATATTCTTCTCATATCCATTCTG